GGAGCAGATGACTTCGTACCTCTCTTGTCGTGCACTTTGATGGTATCTTTCCATCAAATCTTGGTGCATTTCATAAGGGTAGAAGTCTTCATAAGACTTTTGGAGTTCAGCTGTCATGGTGGCTAACATGATGCAAGCCACCTTGGTTGCATCTCTTTCATGAGTATGAAAGTCAGCGATCTCCTGGGGAGTTGCAGTGGACTCGTCAATTTCCTTAAGCTCCTTGTCAAGGACATATTCTTTGTCCTCGTAGCGGGTAATCATCCTGATGTTTCTGATCCACTTATTGAAGTTGGATCCATCAAAGGTGACTTTCCCACATAGACTCATAAGAGTAAAGGAGCCATTAGGATTCGAGCCAGAAGCATTAGTTGAAGACATCTGAAAAGAAGAACAAGTTTAGTTTAGATTTAAGAGAGTCCTTAATAAAACGCCCAAATGTAATATTAAGGCTAGGATCCAATCACAATATAATATAACTTAGAAGAGGTATGCCGTAATCTAAGCTATACCATATTTGAAAGGTAGGTGAATGACGATTCTAAGCTATACCGTAATCTAAGCTATACCATATTTGAAAGCTATACCGTAATCTAAGCTATACCATTTTTGGATTCGAGAAGTCCAATTCTTTGGTCACGTGGTTGAAGCTATGATGAAATGGGAACGACCAAAAAGTCCTACTGAGATTCGTAGTTTTCTGGGATTAGTTGGATATTACCGAAGGTTTATCTAAGGCTTTTCTTCGATATCTACTCCATTGATAACTTTGAACCATAACGGAGCTACATATACATGGAGTGAGAAACATGAAGAAGCACTCGAGAAATTAAAGAAGAAGTTGTGTGAAGCACCAATTCTTTCTTTACCCGACGGAGTTGAAGACTTCGCAGTCTATAGCGATGCATCTAGAGTTGGGTTAGGTTGTGTTCTTACCCAAAGAGATAAAGTGATATCATACGCATCTCGGCAATTGAAAGAGCACGAAAAGAACTACCCCACTCATGATCTGGAGTTAGTAGTGGTAGTATTTGTGTTAAAGATATGGAGGCATTATCTTTATGGCACAAAGTGCAAACTCTTCACTGATCATAAAAGTCTCCAGTATCTCTTTGATCAAAAGGAGATGAATATGAGACAACGACACTGGCTAGAGTTACTCAAAGATTACGACTGTGTTAAGAATAGAAGTCATCTCAACAATTATGGAAAGTATCAGGAAATCTTATGAAGAAGCTTTAGAGAAGAATGATTGAAAGGAAGAACATTTAGGCAAAACGTTGGTATTCGGTACAAATAGTCGAGGATTGAAGGTATTCCAAAATAGGATTTGGGTGCCTAAGATGGGAGGAATAAGACATCTTCTAATAGAAGAGGCTCACTAAACTACCTAGGACGAAGAATGGTCACGACATGATTTGGGTAGTCGTGGATCGGTTTACTAAGAGTGCATACTTCATAGCAGCCAATGAAAGATGGTTTATGGATAAGCTTGTAAATGTTTATGCGAAGGAGATAGTAAGACTTCATGGTGTTCCATTAACAATTGTATCGGATCGTGACAGTCGTCTCACATCAAAATTTTGGAAAAGTATACAAAAGGAAATAGGTACGAAGTTTTGTTTAAGTACAGTCTACCATCCGCAGACTGATGCTCATAGCTAAAGGACAATTCAAACACCGGAAGATATGTTAAGAACATGTACCCTATGTATTTTAAAGAACATGTTTTTCTTTTTATTCCAAACCTAAAATATAGGAATTTACAAATGAAAGATTATTATCTACATTAATATATATATATATATATATATATATATATATATATATATATATATATATATATATATATTATTTAATATATTAATAAAAATAATTAATATGACGTGACCTTTGAATAAAAGAAACACAAAAATGCAACTGGAAAAATAATAATTCTAAAATTTTCATAAAATAATATTTATCAAGTTCAATGAAAAGTTGACATTTAGCAAATATGATATTTATTTGTTGAGTTTTTAACTAAACACATGTTTCTGGAAATCTTATTTACTTAATCACTATGTTACTGTTAATCTTTATCAATTTTTTACAAACACCATTACAATCAATAATTTTTTGAATCTAAACCAACAAATGATTCTTACAAAAAAAAACATATAATTTTTTGAATCTAAATAAACACCAAATTAAATTAAAAAATTCATAGGTTCAATATTTTAAGTACAAAACTAAAAATTCTTTCTTACAAAATACAAAAAAAAAAAAAATAGATTAAATTTATTCGATAACCACTATTTAAAAACAATAAGATAAAAAAATAAGATATAAAGTCATACAATAAACCCAATTTTTTTTTTTTTTTTTTTGATATTTGGATATTCTTTTTACTGTAAATTAGTCCAATTGCTAAGGAACTTGAAAATTGTTGTCAAAAGATTCTTCACAATTTTCTTCTAACATGTCATTTGCATCAACTTCGTTATCATTTGTAATTATTGCATTTGTTGCAACTACATCTTGAGATATTGTATAGAAATTCTCATTCTGAACGTCTATATGATAGTATCCATCTACAAAAAAAATACTATTAGAAAACAGAAATAAACCATCAACTTGTTACAATCAAACAAACAATCTAAAAACAACATTAAAGATGAGCAACACACAATAAGAACTAATCTTATTAAAACAACCAATCAAAGAGACAAAATCAAATCTAATTTTATTAAAGATGGTCAGCCACACAATCGGAACACGAATCAAACATACAAAATCAAATCAAATTTTATTCAATGAAAATTTTGAAGAACTCATAAATATTGACAAGAAAGTTTAAAATTTTAATTTAATAGAATAACCGGTAGAATGAACCTAAATGAAGATTACCGTTCAAAAATCTAAGATACACGAGTCATAAATCGAAGTTACAGATTACAAATTGAACATGTAATGAAATTCATAAATCTTACATGTGATACATCGTCATCGTCACGATATGCAGTCACCGTTGGTTGGAGTCGTAGTCTTCGACATGAATTGCCTGGTTGAGTCGTTGTCGGAGTTGGCAGATGTGTGGCCACTTCGTTTTTTTTTATCAAGGGAGATGAAGTTCATCTGGTAAGATAGTAAGAACTAGGGCACAATGTTTTGTATTTTTTTTTGTTACTAAATTTAATAACTAAGGTCTCGTTTAATAGTTTCTGTTTGGAAAAATGTTGTTTAGTAAAGTGTTGTCTGGGAAGGTTTTCTGACTGGGAAAGAAACCATGCTGTTTGATTGTACATCTGATTGACTGTGTTGAATGATGAAAAAAAAAGTAATAATTCAATAAAAAATAAATTAAAAAAAAGTTATTTAAAAAAATAAATAATCCAATAAAAAAGGAAAGAGACGGGGTTTGATGTATAATTGTCTTTACAGCCCATTCGGCCAGAGAGATATTATTTTGGGGCTTTTGGAAATACATATCTTACCGGGAAAGACCCATTCTTTTATGCAAATCAAACAGTCTTTCCGGTTCATTCAGCCAAAAAAGATCTGTCTGGACCTGAAAATATGTGTATCAAACGGGGCCTAAGTTTAAAAGTATAGGATTTAGGGGCTATTTGGCAGGATCTGAACTTTTAAGCTCTGAATTTTTAATAGGTCTGAATTTCTAAGAGACTCTGAATTTTTAAGATCTGAATTTTTAATATGTTGTTAGGTTGGAACCTCTGAATTACTATGCTGAATTACAAAAATGACCATTTTACCCTTTCTATTACTTTTTATTGAATTCAATGTTTATGTTTACAAAAATGACCATTTTTTCTTATATTTAACACCATACAAAATCCAAATTAAACACAAATCCAAAATACAACATAAATTCTTTCAAATCCATGAAAACATACAAATATCTTGGTGTGATCAACAAATATATTAGAAAAAAAATGATCAGGAAAAACAACAACAACAAATGTTCAAGCTAAACAAATACATCCATACTTTTTCTCCAGCATTACAACAAACGTCCCAGCAGAATGTTGGACAAAAATACCCCTCCATTGTTTTTCTTGATCTCTCTTTCCCCTGTTCTTCTTTCAACTGATCAATAATTTCCAACCCCTAAATCGACCTATAATAGCAAATCAAGACTAGAGGGGCAACATGGGGGACAACTTTGCTGTTAAAATCACTACAAAAACAAACATGATCCAACACATCAAATGCACAACTGATAGCATAACCATTTCACCTTTTTATGTTCAAGTTTGAGGGCAAAGAAGGAAGAAATAGAAGAAGAAACAGTGTGCTATTAATTTCAGTTTTTTATGTTCAAGTATGAGGGCAAAGAAGGAAGAAATAGAAGAAGAAACAGTGAATTCGAGGGAAAGAAAGAAGAAACAGAAGAAGAAAACGAAGAATACCTTTTTGTTGGCTGATGCGGTCGGCGGAAAAATGACACGTAGATGGAGGCGGCGGAGGAAGGCGACGTTGTTGTAGCGTCGTTGGGGATTAGGGTGGGCGGCGTCTGGCATCGTCCGATGCTGAGGAGAAATACGCGAAGCTAGCAGACAAAAGGGAAGAAAAGAAGAGGGGTGGATTGTTTAGGGCAAATAGGGAATCCTTAAACGCGCGTCTCTTTTTTGTTTTCTTGATTATTCTCTAAAAAAATAAAAGGTATTAATTTTAAGAGGCGAAAAATAATATACAAACAAATGGTCTGAATCTGAAAGTTTAAGACATTACCTCTTAATTATGAAATTAAAAAGTAAACAACAGCCTTTAATGTATATAGAATTCTTTTTTTTTATTTATTTATTTAATTCACAGCTAAATATGTATGTTCTTTTATTTATTTAAAATTGAATTGGGATTCTGATTCTTTACTTTCCGGGTGCGCAGACCCACGTTAGCAGTAATACTCATTCCTATCTTTGCCATCAAAGCTTTCACAAAATCCTCTCTATTAAATCACTCCAAAAAAAAATTCACTCGAAATTTAACCGTTAACAATGGCGATTTCAAAAAATCCATCCCTCCACCTCCACCTCCACCACCTCCTCTTCCTCCTCCTCCTTGCACCCGCCGTCAACTCCATCGGCGTCAACTACGGAACCCTAGGCGACAACCTCCCGCCACCAGCTACAGTAGCCCACTTCCTCAAATCCGACACCATCATCGACCGCATTAGAATCTTTGACGTGAACCCAGATATGATAAAAGCGTTCGCCGGCACCGGCATCCTCGTCTCCGTCACAGTCCCCAACGGTGACATCCCTTCTCTCACTGATCCCTGGAACGCCCGCCGGTGGGTCAATGCCAACATTAAACCCTTTTACCCCGCCACCAAGATCCACTATATCTGTGTCGGCACCGAGGTGCTCCACTGGGGTCCACAGAGCATCGTCGACAACCTCGTTCCGGCGATGAGAGTACTTCACTCTGCACTCGTTAAAGCTGGTATTACAGAAATAAAGATTTCTAGCCCGCATTCGCTAAGTATACTTTTTTCATCAATCCCTCCGAGCAACGCGTCTTTCCGACATGGTTGGGACGTCGGCAACCTCGCTCCGATGCTCCGGTTCCACCGTGAAACGAAATCGGCGTTCATGGTTAACCCGTACACGTATTACGGGTACTCACCGGAGAATCCGAACTTTTATCTCTTCAAACCCAACAAAGGACTATTCGATAAAGTCACCGGAAAACGGTATTGTTTCTTCTTTTTCTCCTAATTATATCGAGCATTCAGATTTCGAGTTAACCGATTGTTTGAATTATGGTAATCAAGGTACACCAATCAGTTCGATTTACTAATGGACGCTGTTTACGTTTCGATGAAGAAACTTGGGTACCCAGATGTTGATATTATAGTGGCGGAGACAGGGTGGCCGTCGGGCGGAGACCCGCAAAACACCCACGCGAATCCGTGGAATGCGGCGGCGTATAACGGTGGTGTTATACAGAAAGTCGACTCCGGCGTCGGAACGCCATTGATGCCTGGACGGAAGTTCGAAACCTACATTTTTTCGTTGTTTAATGAGAATCTAAAAGGGCCATCGTTGGATGAGAAGAATTTCGGGTTGTTTCGACCCGATTTCACTCAAGTTTATGACATCGGAATTAGACACGAATCACAGGTATTACCTTTTAGGCTTTTATCTAATGGTTTGGACACGTGGCACATAGAAACGTCGACAGTGATGTCGGAATATATATAGGACGATAAAAAGAAGAATAAGTACTATCTAGCCGTGCAATTATATGACATGTCCCTGATTTAATGAAAAACTATTTTATTTTTATGTTTATTTTTCTAAAAGTAAAATTTATTAAAGTACTTTTTGTAAAGCTTTATATATATTTAAACATAACTCTTTTGAATATTTATAACATTTTACGAACTTATTTTAATTTTGTGAAATGACTTTACCCTATGATTTGTTTTGTAGAAAAGACAAATTTATCGAAACAAATTTTTTCATGATTTTATACTTGTGATCATTTATAAATCATTTTGCGGAAAATTAATAAACTATATTTTGCAATGTGAAAATTTTGGATGATTATTTTGTTAGAATACTTGATAAATAGTAATTTAGGTATAAGACATCACTAGATTCAAGGATTATAACAAAAACGACAGACACTATTATGAATGATTGAGGTAAATGACCAAACAAACATTTACTGATTTACCAAAATGACAATTATCCGAAATGGGCTTTTTCAGATTTGGATGGTATATAATGGGTATTTTCTTTTCTAATTTTGCATAAAATACTTTACAAAATTATTTTATTTCTTCTCTTTAAATAGGAAGTGTTTTATTTTACTGTTTTCAATTAAATAACACCGTTTTATTGTGTTCTATTTTTTTTACGCCATATTTATTTTATTCTTTTGTTAAATTTTAGTAAGGAAAGGAACCTTTTCTTAAAGTTCTGGATGTATTTTTGGATTTCGAAAATATTCTTTAAGTTTAAGAAAAATAATTTTTCCTGTTTGAATTCAAAGTCCAAAACGTTTTTATTTTTATTTTAGAAAATGTATATTTGATACAATATAAAGTCAGTCGGACATCGTAAAGTTAGTTATAAATAAATAAAGTGACATTTTTAAAGGTCATTTTTGTAATTATCCTGAATTTTATCATTTTCGTGCTTATCATTTAAAAGATGACATGCTTAACTTTAATCGCGCTCGAGTTGTTTATTTTGTTTTTGGTAAAGATATCTTTATTAAATCATTTATAAAGATACTTTTATTAAATCATTTATACTTTAAACAAGCAATGTCATATTGTATAAACAATTGATTTAACATTTGAAACATATATTGAAATAATTAATTCGTAACAATGGCTCGATTTAACTTGCCACTATCATCTACAAATATTTCTTACATTGTCATATATCATTTATGTTACAGTCAAAGACCCCATCACCAAAGCCATCAACACCAACACCAACACCAAGAGCACCAACATCATCTCAAGGCAAGAGTTGGTGTGTGCCTAAACCAGATGCGACTGATGTTGCACTTCAGTCCAACATCGATTACATTTGCAGTAATGGCATCGATTGTAGCCCCACACAGCCTGGTGGGGCTTGCTTTATGCCAAATACTATTCGAGCTCATGCATCATTCCTCATGAATTCTTATTATCAAGCAAAGGGACGCCACAACTTTGATTGTGACTTTGCAAACACCGGAGTCATAGCATCTTCTGATCCTAGTAAGTTCATCAACACTTGATTAATGAAAGATTTTGATAGTTTTGTTGATAATATTTCAACAATCTTAAGAAATTGAAATATTTTTTACATCGTTGTTTCTTAAAGTTAATGTTGATAGGCCCAAACAAATGAAACAAAAGCATACCATTGTTGATTTGGTTTGAGTGTGACATGCTAATTTTTGATACGTGACACATTTGAGTAATCTTTTCTCTTGTCGTTTTTCAGGTAATGGTCCATGTAAATATATTTCTTAAGCTTGTACGGTGTGTGATGAACTCATGGAACTGTATGTAGGCAACAACGATGAAATGAGGAACTATATTGGGTTCTTTTTGATAAGTTGGAAATTGTGGTAACATTTAATCTGTTGATATATGATTATATTTGTACTGAAATGTATTACAGTGGAGGAACTATCTAATATGCATGCTTATTTAGTTTAAATAATTTGGTTGTGAGGTAATTAGCATAGTATTAGAACAACTTTCGGAACTAAGGATTTTTATTGGCTTAATCTTTTTAACTCCTATATCTACTTTGAGCGAAATATTATTTACTTAATCTTTTTTACTCCTAGATTAACACTAAGAGTCTCCTAGTTTGTCGACCATAACTCAAACACCGCAACCCTGGCTGAGTTAATTCAAAGCTTCGCGGAAAAAGGACCAACTTACCTATCCTATATTGTGTATTACATTTTCCTAGTTTTGTACTAATTATCCTGAGCATTATGTCCAATGTCAAGAACGTTTCATTACGCTAAGTGCACTACAATCGTTTTTGTATCGACCCAAAAATCTTAAACTATTTGTTATAAGATGTAATTTGTTTAAATACATTCATGAGTGAACTATACATTCATGAGCATTATGGTAATGTAATAGGTATATCCCTATACTTATTGCATTATATCAGAAAATCAATAAGTTTTTAGCAAGTGATTATCAAAAGAAAGTTATAGTTATCTTTGAGACAATTTGTGGATGTAAAGTTTGACAAAATTTGAGTTCGTATGTAGAAATTATGGCTAATCAAAGATCGAGCAAAATATTTCTGAACAGTGTGTCGATATGGTGAGTCACTGATACAAATGTCAACAGGAGAGGACACATAACACAAAGTTGTTTCTAGATGCGACACGTGGGTGTGACATGCCCATTAATTGTGCGGCACACCACTATATATATATATATATATATATATATATATATATATGTGTGTGTGTGTGTGTGTGTGTGTGTGTGTGTGTGTGTGTGCGCGCGCGCGCTCGTGCGTTGAGTTGTGTGTTATGAGTTTCAGAAATTTATAGAGATACTTTTCGAAGCTGGTAACTGAAGGATTTATGTTAGGTACGAGGGTAAGAGTGTCGAATGAGGTAAGATATTATCTTGTATTATCAATATGTAGTTATGTTTACATAGCATAAGTGGTTGAATAGAACCTGTGTAATATCCCATTTTTTGGTATGTAAATATTTTCATATTTTTACTAATTAGTTTTATATATTTATTTTAATAATGAAAAGGATAATTAAGTAACCTAAAATAAAATAGAAACACAGAGGAAACTAGGAAAGGTAGGAAAGGTTGCAAGGGCATGTTTAAAACTTAATATATTAAATTTCTTGGAACTTAAGGGCTATTTGTGTCAAAATTGCCAAAATGAAATCCTATTAGGGTTTAAAAACAAGAACGACCTCTTTCATAATTATTTTCTTTGGAGGGGTATCCCCAAACCCTAGAATTGCAATTCTTGAAGAGTTGAGGCCAAAAGAGAATTTTCTGAATGTATGTTTTTGAAGACCTCACTACAATGTGTCACAACTAGCATTTTTGCTAGGAAATGCTACTCTCATATAATCATTCAACCCGTATAATAATTGGTACTCTAAGCAAATACCATACTCTATGCTCATTCAAATATATCTCTCATGTTCGACAAAGAGTTTGAAACTCTAAAAATTACGAATCAAGTTTAATATGGACTAGAATTCTCTTATTAGGCCTAATGGACCAATAAACCTTCAACTTGACTACTTTGGGCCTAAAAACCATAATTAGGTTCTAATTGGACCCACGTTCATGAAACTTAATATTTTGGGCCTTAATGGGTCTAAAATAAATTTGTTTAGCCTTAATGGACCACAAACCCACTCCTTTGCACCATCTTGGGCCGTGAACAACCTTAAGAGCCCAATGGGCCAAAAAATATTAATTGGGCCCCACAATTTCAAACTAAGTCAAGATAAGCCCAAAATTATCTCAATTCTTTTCTTTTGGTCCAATCTCGGCCCAACAACAATAATAAAAAAAAAAGGAAAAAGAATAATGGGAGAATGCATGGGTTAAACACTTGCAACACATAATTGTATCACATACATCCATGAAGACCATTACCCACCATGCAAACTTATCAAATCTCTCTCTTCTTTTCTCATCTCTATTTACGACCAAAAACCCTTCCAACCATCTTCCATTTTTCCTTTCAAACACTTTTAAACTCTCTCAAGAACTCTCCTCATCTTCCTCTAAATTTTCGAGTTTGGTGTGTAGTTTCAAGAGGATCTTCATCTAGATCATCAACTTTGGTAAGTTCTCACTTAGATCTATGATTTAACTTCTTGATCTCTTCAAAAATCTCCTCTTACATCCATATATTTGTGGATCATGTTCTTAGAACCATCAAAGTTCAAGATCTACTCAAGAGGGTTGCTAGGATCAAAAATCTTCTTCCACTTCTTCATCAAAACCGATCCATCACCCCAAGGTGAGTTCATACCCCCTTGTTTTCTGTTTTTACTTGTTTGTGGGGGGAGAATACAAGTCTTATGTGTAGATCTATGTATATATGCATGATTATGTGTGTTTTCTTGAAACATTTGGTGATTATGTGTTGATTACTTCACTAATATAAAAATATGTTAAGAAAATTGAAGTGTATCACTAGGATCTTCATATGAATCATGAGAAAAGTATGTTTTATCAAATATAATACATGTAAACTTGTAGATCTGGGATTTGTATACTTGATATAGCAAAAATGAGTGTTGTGTTCAAAGATCTATAAACTAAACTCACAAAACAACACTTGATAGAAAATTTTTGGTCCAATCTCGGACTGTTTTGACCCCTTAATGGTAATGTTTTTCAAAATAAATTTACATGGATAAATTTCAGATTTATACCTTTAAAATGACTACTCTCACGTTTTCATACGATTTTTCTACAATTTTTGGCGAATTTTACAAAACTGCCTATCATATTTGAAATAATTTCGGACCAACCTGTGAAGATGAGTAATTTTACACTAGTTTGAGGCAATCAAAAATTATGAGAAAAATTGTGAACAAAGTAGACAAAATTTCCAAACTTCCAGAATTTACGGATCCAAATTTAGACTTACGATGAATTTTCTACAAATTTTCTAAAAACTAGGTCGAAAAAGCTAAAAAACAGAAAAATGTGTATTTTCACAAAAACCAAGCCAAAAATGATATTTTTGACAAAAATGGGTTTAAAATGTTATTTTTATCACAAAGTAGTCATCAACACAAGTTTTTAACAAAATTGGAGATTAAAGTGTTATTCTTACAAAAATTGGGCCTTAATTGTAAATTTTTGGCTTATTGGGCCAAGAATGTCATTTTTACAAAAAGTGGGCTTTAGATATCAATTATATAAATCATCAAGCTAAAATAAACAAAACAATAACAAACAGGTTAAAAACGATATTTATATCCTTATTGGGCCTGGAAATAATATACATGTTTAGTGGGCCTTAGTGTCCTTTTACATGTATATTGGGCTCGGGATAGGTATTCATATCCTTATTGGGCCTGGAAATAATATACATGTTTAGTGGGCCTTAGTGTCCTTTTACATGTATATTGGGCTTAGGATAGACATTCACATTCCTTTTGAGCTTGGAAATAATAGACATGTATAGTAGGCCTTAGTGGTCCACTTACATGTTTATTGGGCCTGGGAATGAGTTTTATATGCATTTGTAGCACCTGGTTCCTGGTATGTAAATCTTATTTGAGTATTTTCCATTTTTAGCCTTGGACTCGGCGAGTCATAGGTCCGACTCGCCAAGTAGGGACGAGACCCAGGACACGTTTAAGTTGGCGACTCGGCGAGTCCATATCCTGGACTCGGTGAGTCACCGCTGTTGGATGAAACCCTAAGTTTCAGGGGTTTGCACCCTATTTAAACCTCATATCCGCCCCTTGCCAGCCCCTATTCACCCCCAGAGCTCCCAACCCTCGTTCTAAGCTTGTTCCTTGAGAGTTTGAGGCTATTGTGTGTGTTCTTGAAGGCTTTAAGGCAAGAAGGGGAAGAAGATCAAGAGGAAGGAGAGCCATCCAAGCATCATTGTGTTTTTCAGCAATTTCATTGAGGTATATCCCATTTCCCCCCTGTTTCTATGCTTAAGGTTTCATTTAAGGCATTCTTGAGCCATTCCCCAAGCTAGTATGTGCATAATGTTTCGTAATAAGTTGATTGGCCTCTAGATCTAGGCAAGATTGAGCTCCAGGAGCTCAGATCTATTAGCTTTATGGAACCATGTGGCTTGTTCATCCTAGATCTACCCTTTTGAGGCATTTTGAACCCTAAAATCCATATTGGTGAATATCTACACGTAAAGTTGGAAACTTTACGTGTGATTCGTGTCTTAGAAGCCCAGATCTATGAATGGCATGGACTAAAATCGAACAAATCGATGTATTTAATGGATGCATGGCGACGACTCGACGAGTCTGCTCGCGAGTCACTGAATTTGTCCCTTTATGTTGTATCGAGTTTGAGCAGTGAGTCACAGGGTGTGACTCGGTGAGTTGGAAGCTGAACTCACCCATGGTAGGACTCGGCGAGTCATTGCCTGCCTCGACGAGTCCAAGGAAATCTCCATAGATCAAGAACAGACTTGGCGAGTTGTTCATACAACTCGGCGAGTCTAAGCATGAGTGTTCATCGGATGAAGATGAACTCGACGAGTTGTTCATACAACTCGGCGAGTAGGACGAAGAACTTCAATGTCAGTTTAGAAGAAGAACTCGTCGAGTCATAGCCTAACTCGACGAGTAGAATCAGGGACTCGGTGAGTTGGAGAGCCAACTCGGCGAGTCGGGTCAACTGAATGTTGACTCTGACTATGACTTAGGACTAGACCAGGGGTAAAATGGTCATTTTACCCAAAGGACAGTTAGTAGTGTGTGATTGAGTATGTTGTGGGAATTGCAGTCAGAGGATTTCCGGAGTAGTAGCAGTCAGTCAGTTCCTGATCAGTTCAGCAGCTACTTTGAGGTGAGTTACCTTCCAGTAGCGGTGGGTCTAAGGCCACAATGTCGGCCCACCAGTAGGAGATGTGTGATTAGATGATTGTCTTTGTGATATTCATCTAGGGTTGCTACTACTGTGTTATGTTATGTGTTAGTGACAGTAGGGGTGAAATAGTCCCCAGTATCCGGTCGAAAGGACCGAAGGGGAGGCCAGTA